CCAAAATGCATTTATTGGGTATCCCAAGTCCTTGATGGAAATCAGCCCCATATTTTCCACCACACACAGAGGATCTATCTGCTCAATGCCACTGCAATCCTACCGCAGCTGAAAAAAAGACTTCCTTCCATGGGGATGAGTGTTGTGCAATGGTTAAATCCACTACTTTCTAATTCCTGGAATCTATCTTTTCCATTTCAGATACACAAACTGGAAGCCATTTGTATGTCCTCGCGTACTGACAAAATTATCTCTTGGGCAAAGAGGGCTGAATGGCCTGTTATGGTCATTCCTGCAGCTATAGGAACATCCTATGAATGAAAAGGCCTTTGGAGATCCACAAGATTCCTTGGATCCATTTGGAGTTGCATTGCAGGACAGAGAAAGAATGGAAACACATTCTTTAGCAAGTGAGGGAACTGGAGAAGGCCCTTCTGCTGTTCAACCTGACAGGTGTGGGGGGATCTGGGCAAGAACTGGGCAGAAGATCCTGGAGGAGGAAACCATCCATTCAGAAGTTCAGCCACAGAACTTCAGGAGCATCCAATACCAGGAGGCTGAGGGTCCCCGAGGACTTTGCAGCCGACTCCACTACTTCTGTAGTCAATGGTTGAGACCAGAAAAGCACACAAAAGCGCAGGTGCTGGACCTGGTTGTTCTGGAGCACTTCCTGGCCCTTCTGCCCCTGCAGATGGAGAGCTGGGTGCGGGAGTGTGGAGCAGAGACCAGCTCCCAGGCGGTGGCCCTGGTGGAAGGCTTCCTCCTGAGCCAGGCGGAGGAGAAGGTCGAGCTGCAGGTGAGAGATCTTCATCTTGGGAGCTTTTTTTGATTGGGACAGGATGATGATGGTTAATTTTGGTAATGTTTATTGGTTTGTTTGTTTTTTTAGTAGGATTGAACTTTGATTATTTGAAGAGAGGGATTAGGGGTAATTTGTCTAAATGGAAACGGAGATATAAATACTTGTTATTTTTGATAACCCTTACTGGACTTTTGCTGATTTATAAGGAAGGTGAAGATTTAGAGATGGGCTTATACGTCATTATTAATGACGTATGGAATAAAGAAATGCTTGGTTGTATTTTAAGGGACATTGATAAGTTGTTATGTTGACTATACTTGTTGGGGATGACGGGGGAAGTTTCTTCTATTTTTTCTTCCTTCCTTCCTTTTGTTTTGTTGTGTTTTCTGCTCTTCCTTTTTAATTTGTTTTAATTAAAAATTTTTAAAAATATCATATTGTTGTATTAATTTTCTTTGCTTATTAAGATCCTCAATAAAATTATTAGAAAAAAAAGAGAGACCTTCATCTTGGGAGCCCAGAAGGGGTTTGAATGGAATAAACAATGTGTTTGAATTCTTAAGCCCTCCCTAACACAGTTCTCTGACATTCATAATTTGTGGAGATGTTTCACTAATTCTTGTTGGACATTGTTCTGTTATCCATTCGAGACCACCGTTCCTTTCTTACTTTCCAGCCTCACTGACGGACATTGAGGGCTTTGAAGTTGTGTTCAGAGAACAAGAATCCACTTCACGTTGTGTGATGTCCATTCATTCTTCTTTTCTCCTCCTATTTCAAGTCCTTCACTGTGGACATCAGAGATCCTGAGGGAAGGAGGAATCCCTCAAATCCCCCTCAAGAGCTGGTCTTCAGGAGAATCTCTCAGGAAGATCCAAGTCAGGACACCTCAAGAGGTAACTGAAGGTCCTCCGATTCCTCAGCGAGATCCCAGCTGTCTCATCTTCTCTATGTCTTCTCTTCTGTAAAATACCTCCTCCTATTTTATTAATTATGCATTAAAATTCTGTCTCCCTCACAGGGAAGACTCGAATGAAGTTATTTGCTCTTTATGGCGGAGCTGAAACAGTGGTTGAACCTCCAACTCAAGTAAGAGGAGGAAATTCATTAAATTTGAATTCTCCCTTTCCTTCAGGAAGTTAAGCTGGTGTACATAGCATTCTCTCCTTCCATTTTTCCCCTCTTGTTTGGGCTTGGTTATTTTTTGTTCTTGAACAATATGGAATGGAAAATAGAAGATTCAAGTTGCTCTCACTCAGGTCAGCCTCCTCTGAAGTCTGTTACTGGGATATAATGGTTGGTAATTTGTACCTTGAGATTCTTATTAGGAAATATTTTTAAAGGCCAGTACTTAATTCTCCTTGTGCTAGTTACTCTTCCTACTATTAGTTTACAAAAATTGTTTTTTAAAAGTCCTTTGAGAGAGAGGAATAACGTCACAGCGGTACTAACTGCTAAACAGAGATGCTTTTTGTAATTGTTTGACTTGGAATTGTATAACTAAATATTCACACTGGCACATTACTATTTTTAAAAAGCCTTGTTTACAACCAGTGATAAGAAAAATAAGCACATCAGATTGAAAGATAAATCAGACTATTAAAATCCAGTGAAGATTGCCAGACAGAAAAGTTTCTAAGTAAAAATTGTTCTGAAAGAGTAAATAATCAAGGCACTTCAGAAAGTCCTGCAGAATCAATCAAGTTGATCAAACCTGCCTGAAATATTTCTTCAGTCAAAGGTTTTTGGCTCTGCCCATTTTCTCACCTAAACTTTGGAATCCTACCAAGCGGAGCCATTTAACTTAGTGCATATCTTTGCTTTGGGACAGATCTTGCAAATCCTTCTGGGCCTGTTCTGTTCTTTTTTTTTCCTTGTTCAGGAGGGTCTTGTGTCCTTCGAGGAGGTGGCTGTGTATTTCTCTGAGGAGGAGTGGTCTCATCTGGATACT